GTTATATAGTAAACTAGGGAAATCAAGCCAAGTACCGAAATTGTGTATTAAATTCAGGTATATAGAGCATGTAGATTAACAGAAACTGGCCTGTTTTTAAAGTTAATGCACAAGAGTAACTTAAATTTTAAAATCAGGTGTTATAATACGGATATAAGGAAGGTACTCTGTGACAGAAACTGTGTGATGATTGTGAATGAGCCACAGATTAGAGCGATTTTTGAAACTCTCGTTAACCAAAGAAAGCTAAGGTTATACAGCCATATCTTCAGTAGCTTCGTTATTTTTGTGATATTTTTTTTCATTATAACCATATTTTAGATTTTTAGTGTATAATGTGTTTATGGAGGTGTTTGGCGAAAAATGTATGGCAATAGACTTCATGATGTCGCGTACCATCTATAATAATTGTCTTAGCACATATGCATGTAGTGTAAATGATAATATAGTTGTGGATATTAATACCACAGTGTAATAAAAAAATGTTTTATTTTATCGACCTTTACAAAATAGATTTGATTTTATGTTATATAAATAACTTCGATCAGTCTTTGGCTGAATGTTACTACACCCATAGCCATTAAAAATGATTCGTATGTTTTTCAAACCGGTAAAATTAAAAGTCCTTTTTAAAATGAATATATTATACAAAGGTGTCTGTTAAAATCTAATTACTGTAAAATAAAGTATAAATAACGCCAAGAATTACCGTATATGTCAATATTTTTTGGGTTTTTGGGCCAATTTGAGCAATCTCCTTTATTTACAATGGACTAAAGTATGTAGGTGCCATTTTGTTCGATAACTTTTTACCATCTTGTAGATAGCGACATGATCCCGTTGCTATAGAAGTTTTGGGGCTTCTGATAAAAAAACTACGACAAGTGCTTTTGGCTGCCTTCTCGTGATCTTATCCTGACACTGCCTAAACAATTCTGAAGAGACCGAAACAGATATAAACCGTACAAGGTCAGGACTATATGGCGGATGCAATACCACCTCCCAGTCAAACTCTCTTATTTTTTTCCGATTGTCTAAAGATATGTATGGTCTAGCGTTATCATGATGAATAACCATTTCTGTTCATTAATTCCGGCCGCTTTGTCTCAACTTCTTGCTTTAATCTCATCAGCTGTTTCCAGTAATGTTCAGAATCGATGGTACTGGCAGTAACAGCTCACAATAAATAATACCCTTCCAATCCCACCATCATCACATCATCACCTTATTGCGTGTTAACCCGGGTATTTACAGTCTGTTTAAGCTTACCGGCCTTTAAACATGACCTTTTTCGCACGTTCTTGTCGTATGTGATCCACTTTTCACCAACCGTTATCAGGTTCTTTGAAGATGGTTAGGTTTTTATTACGTCGTAATAAAGAATCACAAATAATTATATGGTTCAATACTTTTCTTTCAGTGAGCTCGTCACCCAAATGTCGAGCTTTTTTGTATACCCAGCTTTTTTCAAATGCACCGAAACTATTTTGTGGTCAATTCCCAGTTCTTCAGCTACGACGTAACTACCGACATGCCGATCTTGCTCCACTTTTAAAAAAATGAAGGTGACCAGAGCGACGTACATCTCTAACATCAGAATTTCCAGATTAAAAACGCTTAAACCAAAGGACATTGGGCAAACATGTATGGACGCCGCACCCACGTCCGCCACGGCTTAAACTACATTTGTTTGAAAGGTATAATAGTAATTATTATCTATGCCAAAGCGCATCAAATTCCATCCCGGGGGTCTTTAGTTATTTTAAGTTAAATAGGTATAAGTACTATAACAAACGAACATTAATGATACAAGGGAATTTAGTTAGTTCGACCCTTCATAGAGGGTTTAGGTATTATGGGAGTACTTCACAAGGTGCAAGGGTGCACCCTTATGTTTTTCTGCCGCGCTAGAGTAAATCCCAGAAACCCCGTATGGATTGAGATTTTTTCAAACAGACTTACAGGCAACTTTTCTCGTTACAGTAAATTGTCTTCTATGTAAAACGGAGCGATCACAAATCACACAAACTTGCCCACGCTTCGGAGAAAACATGATTCAAGTTCATTCATACTAATTAATTGATTATTGAGTTCCAATGTCCAAAGCGCGTTAGATAAAAATCAATCAAGTGACATGGAGCGACAATCACAACGAAGTAAGACGAGTCGACTATTTGCAACTGCAAGTCCTTCAACCCCTCGTAACCCGTTTTGAGGTGGCTCAGTAGGTGCAAGCGCAGGATGGTCGGCTCGGCAGGCTTTGACGTATATCTGTTTGTATAGTACGATATGGCATATTATTATGGTTACTTATAATAAGTTCATTCAGTAATTGATAATTACAGATTTGCAATGCAGATGAATTACAATCTATATGCAATCAAACGAAGCGAGTATTCTGTGTCTTGTCTTCTCTCAAGAGCCGTTATAATAAAAACGATTGTTGCCGACAATGCCCGTCGGCCGCCGTCGTGATCATTCGGCAGGGTTCGACGGTTTACGTATTTCCCGCGCGTAGTTTAAGCGCGAACAGTATGTTCATTTAGAAAGTACTATAAAATGAATTCATTTAGCTACTTCAATACGCCCATGTGTGTGCCATCCTTTGAGTACCACGATATTTTTACGATGTCATATCTAGTGATTGCAATCCGGAAAAAACGGATCCGATAATTCAGCGGATCCGGCATCATTTTACGGTTACCGGATCCGATACCAATAAACCGGATCCGGTGCTAGTAGTTTGTGGGCCACAAACCAAACAAAAAAAGAAATAACGACATTTGAAAGCGATAGAGTTGGAGAAGAATACTTGTCTGCTATTCATGATTATTTACTGACAATAAAGCCGACAAGTGTAGAAGCTGAAAGGGCCTTTTCGGCCGCAGGCTATATTTGCAGCTCTATTAGAAGTCCTTAAACTGATGACAGAAGAAACAATATTTGTTTTCTACAATCTTTTTTTTTGAAAATCAATATTGATTTTCTTTTAATACTTATATTTTCTTACAATTTTTACTAAAAATAGTTATTTATCGTAAATTTATGAAACTAAAGAGTTCTAAACTCATTATTGTGATAATTTTTGCCATTCATTCGTTTGACAGATTCATCTAGTCATGATGGTATCTGTCTTTAATAGCTATTATTCTTTTGTGATTCGCCTTTCGAGAGTACACTTAATTCACTTGTAGTAGCACGCATTATGTGCTGCCATCGTACACAATTTTAGAGCAACATTAACCTTTGCCTGAAAAATATAACAAAAAAATATCAAATATGCGTTCGCACTGGGGGTAACTCCACATATTCATACACGTTTTGTGTGCGGCCATCGTGCACGTAATTTTGCGTTCGCGTTTAATATACAAAACTCCACGGGAAAACGCAAACTTCACGAAGGAGTCGACAATCTTTCTTGTAAAATCAAGAAAACATGTTAAAAATTCGTCGTTAATATCGCCGCTGATCTGGTTTCATGATAGGATTATGAAAAAGCAGATTATCTGTCTTCGTGCTGAGGCCTGCTTACTGTTTTTTTTTTATTTAACTTTTATGTGATAATGTTGCTTATTTTTTTTTATTTAAAGTGTGAAAAAAGTGTATACAGGACTTCAAATATCTGAATATTAAAGATTTGCGCAAGGTGGAAAATAAAAACCAAAGAGAAGTTTGTTGGATTCACACTCAGAGGTACATTATATAAATCTTTTCAAATACAAAGTTCAAAGCGAAAATTAAACAATACCAAGTATCTAGTTGCTGTAATCCGATGGAATCTTCATCTTCCAAAAATCTATTTCATCTTGTAAAGAGAAACATTAGATTGTAAACACTGTTACGAACCTCTGAAATGTTTTGTGATGCGAACATCATAATGGGGCTGTTTCCTTCACGTACTTCGACATTACAGGAGTAATGATATCAAATATAGTGCTATGACTTATTTTGTGATACAAGCAGTACATAGGACTGTTTCTGTCACGTACTCGGACACTATAGGTAGACTTTAAATAACATTGAATAAATTGTGCAACCTAAAACACGACGCAAAAGCCTTTTGGAATTATTAAATTCATGAAAATACACTTTTAATTGTGTTAACTTGTGGTAAGTACTGTTGACTGTGATGCGAATGGTTTTTGGGATCATATCCTTCACAATAATACATAAGTAATATCTTATGTAAACTTAAGGAGTGTTCACTTGGTGATGTGAATATTTTTTTGGGATTATTTCCTTCACAAAAATATGGAAGTTATACCTATGATTATTATTATTATTAAATTACTGTTTCCTTCACTTTCATCGAAATTAGTACTCGTTAATTGAGCATTTGTAAACTATATTCTTCTAACATGTTTTATGATGCGAACAGCACAATGGGGCTGTTTCCTTCACGTATTTCGACATTACAGAAGTAATAACATGAAATATAATTCTATGACTTATTTTGAGATGCGAGCAGTACATGTGACTGTTTCTGTCACGTACTCGGACACTATAGAAGTAAATAACATTGAATAAATTGTGCAGCGTAAAACATGATGCAAATGCCTTTTGGAATTATTAAATTCATGAAAAAAAACTTTTAATTGTGTTAACTTATCGTAAGTAGTGTTGACAATGCGAATGGTTTTTGGGATCATTTCCTTAATACATAAATAATATGTTAAGTATACTCAAGGAGTGCTCACTGTGATGCGAAAAATTGCAACTACCAATTGAACCTGCAATTAACGAGATACAAAAATTAAAGTCACCTTCGGGTTTTTCGCAAAAAACATTTTGTGTCGAGTGTCGTTCCGGCGATCTGTTTCTCTGGCCACGGTTTTCGGCTTAATTAACCCAACAATTGCTGTTTCCTTGAACGGTATTTACACGGTATTTCAATATTATGAAGAAATGAAAATAAATACTGTGTCACGTTGCAACAAATATTTTGAATGACGTTATTTTTAAAATACGTGTCGCCACCATTTTTATCACAGATTCAAAGTGTTTGGCACGAAATGTATCGAGTCAGCTTTTTCGATAAGTTTCTGTGAGGATTCGTCAACAGAAGAGTTATGACATGGTCACGACCTGCGATATCAACGAGGTCAAGCAGGCAGCCGAGGTCCGGCCGCATCAATACTACGGGGCCCACCAGCACCGCCAGTGGTTCCAACCCGTTCCTTGGGCCGCTAGAACCAGCAGCCGTCACCAACACCAGGAGCACTGGGAATACACAAGGCTGGTAGATAACATTCTTTTAATATAATAAATTGGCGTAAATTCACCAATGATCCTTTTGTCTTCCTGGGTGTCCGGACTACGTATTCGGACATCCGGCAGTTTTTTGGCCTTTGCTAACCGCTTTCTAAATAAAATCTGTTTTTAAAGCAGATCAACTGAATACCTATGAGTAGGAGATCAGTGTATAAGTGCCGGCACAATCATTTTGGTGTTTGATCCCTATGAAGGCCGATTCTTGTCAGTATTTTTCTTATTAAAAAATGTACCAGTAAAAACAGACACTTTTGAAACCGAAAGGCATTACATAAATATATTATACCTGATTATACCACACTAAGTTTGAGGGTTATAAAACTGTAAACGAAAATCATGAAATACCGTCCTGTATGTTCTTTAGTTTTAAAAGACGCTTAACGATTTGTTTATTAGCATACATAAGATCTACAGAAAGCTCTAAGTTTTACCTATTTCGGCTTAAATATTGCACTATAATTTTTTTAATAATTTATGCGACCCATACTGCTATATTTGCGTAATCAAGGACCTGAGTAATAGTATTGTGCGAATGTAAACAAGATTACAAATTCACAAAAGTTTATATCGGAGTCATTAATCTTTACGATTAACAGAAAAAAGTACGTATACACCTAGCTAAACTGCATTCTTTTATAGCATAAATACATAGATTTATCAATCCCTTTACTAGGCGAATCTTCGTCATATAATATTGATGGATCTGACAACCAAATACGTTCGGGGGACTATCAGATATACTTGCTCAAATCAGACTGCCTGTGGACAGCGGTCAAAACAAGAGAAATATTTTTGGTCTTAAAATATTTGCTAAAGACATAAGGGACTACGAAATACTCCTACGCATATATAATCTCACTGCCATTTCATACATAAACCGAATAGAGAAGCACTCAGTTTCCTCATGCAGCGTAAGCAGGGAAATTTGACAGCAGGGGAAAAAAGTCTGTTTCTTTGCATCTTTTTAGCTCCAAAGATATTAATAATATACGCTTGCAGAGTTACGTCTAATACACGCGAATGTGGAGTGGGAGCTTGCTAATGACGCAAATCAGTGGTTTTGTAAAACATTAGCACAGCCTCAGATAGATTTATTTGCGGTCCGATTAATTATAAAAGTATGAAGAACACGAACTGTCCTGGTGGTCACAGAGTTCATAAACAAAAGGTTTTTCCCTGGACGTCGCGGATATTATGTTAGCATCAGTATCTGATAGCAGGTTATAACAATACAAGCCAGGGAGCGGGGTGAAAGACCTGCCCCAGCAGAGCTGCGGCAGGTCCGTTCCATCGCGCAGGCAGAGGCCTTGCGGCGATGGGATGAGGCACTCGCCCATGTAAGCGCCGGCCACCGGACGATTGAGGCTATTCGTCCGGTCTTGGAGGAGTGGGTGGGTCGCCGGCGCGGCGGCCTATCGTTCCGCATGGTGCAGGTACTGACCGGGCACGGATGCTTCGGTCACTACCTGTACCGTGTCGCACGTCGGGAGGAAACGCCGCAGTGTCATCACTGCGGCGCCCCTGACGATACGGCCGAGCACACCTTGCTGGAGTGCTCGGCCTGGCGGCAGCAGCGCCGCGACCTGATTGCGGCGCTGGGAGGCGGAACCCTCTCGCTGCGGAGCATGGTAGAGGCCATGCTCCGTAGCGAGTCGGCATGGGAGGCGGCTGCCTCCTTCTGCGAGAACGATATCTCGCAGAAGGAGGCAGCATAGAGGGAGCGGGAGGATGATCCCCTGGCCGCTCCCTCCCGCCGAAGAAGAGCGGGCAGAAGAGGACGAGTGCGTGCCCTGGCTACGCCCGTCCCATGACCCTGCCCGCGGGGATCCCTAGCTGGCCGGTACGGCGCATTGTGCCGTGCCGGCCACCGAGGGATCCCCTGACGGCAGCCCCCATCTTGTAGTTCCGTCCTGCAAAGAGGGGGGCGGCGGAGGGAGCTACACGGGCATGCCCAAGTAGTCCTCCGCAGCGGACGGGGGGCGGTACGGTGGGCATTAGGCCGCGTATTTTGCCCCCACGCGCGGGCCATCCTGCGCACGTCTGCGGGGTCCCCGCAATACCTCGGGAGACCCCTGCCGTGGAGCCCCGGCTAGGCCGGGAGGCTGCTGGGTGCGGAGACGCGGAAGAATCCCTAAACGGGGATCCCGCGGTTTCGCACTAAGCAGCTTAGAGGGTATTCGCAGGACTTTTTTAGCGGATATTATACCGTAAAGCGCCCGTAAGAGTTGCGGGGTCCTCGGTGGGCAGCCACTGTGGGGTTCTTAAGACTTGCGGGAGCCAGGTGTGAGGTCCGTTCGGCGGTGTGCCTCTTAAAGGCACCGTCGTCTGGAAAAAAAAAAAAAAAAAAAGGTTATAACAATACAATACTCGTTTGAAACAATGGCACGGTTTTTGTGGATATAATTATGTACTATTTTTTGAATTGCTGTGGTCTGGGGACATCACAATAAGAAAAAACAATTAAGCATAAATGACAGCACAAAATCAGCTATGTTATCTATACTTATAATAAATCTGTAGAGAGGTCAATTCTGTACATGAAATATATTTTCAAAATAACTATCAGGGGGTGATAAGTGATCGATACTGATGCCAAAAATGCAATCAGTAAAATTTTTGTCTGTCTGTCTGTCTGTCTGTGTGTATGTTCCTTATAGAAACAAAAACTACTCGACGGATTTTAACGAAACTTGGTACAATTATTCTTCATACTCCTGGGCAGGTTATAGTATACTTTTCATCACGCTACAATCAATAGGAGCAGAGTAGTGAAGGGAAATGTTGGGAAAGCGGGAGAAGTTACTCCATTTTTTAAGCTTCCGTCGCGTGTGGAGCCTTAATGGTTAAAGTCACATAGAAATCATGTATGACGGAAATATTCTACATAAAATTGTCTAAAAAATATCCCGCAACAGCATATGTCTATCTTTTATGGTTGACTCACAATAACACGTGTAACTCCTGATAGCTTAGCAGTTCGGAGCATTCTGATTATATTTGTTTACTCTTACGTTTATAATACTCTCACTCATCCCTAATTTAAAAAAGTTTACATTATTACCTATTCAATAAAAAGAGAATCATAGAAATCGGTATAGAAACACCAAACTTATACATGAAATAAGCCATTGCGCCGTTGCACGTGAATACTGAATCATGCTATAAGGATTATTTTTGTGTAACGGTTGCCGCGCTCGACACGGGTCGCGGCGGCGGCGGTAGGGTATAAAAAGGCGGGAGGTCCGAAAGCGAGCTTCCCCGCCCCCCCGATCCTGAGAGACCTTCAGTCGATCTGTCCTAAACCGATACGGATGCACATCAGAGTGCATCCGTCCTCTAAGCGCACTATGCCGTAGTATTTATTAAGGCAGCGCTGCATCATCCCCTTCTCAGGGTTGATCGCATCAGATGAAGCCTGTATGCCCCTAAGGCCATAGGCATCCCCCACGGGTGTGTTTTAGTCAGTAAGAGTCTGACATAACCCTACAGCCGGCTGTAGGGTATCCATGATTATTTCACACCCGCTCGCCCGCCTGGGAGGAATCAAAAAAAAAAGAAAGCGAGCTTCATTCAATATTTGGCTGTTGATGCGTTCAGAGCATTCGACCTTATTGACAGACAATAATTGATATTAAGAAACCGTGCTTATCTTAGAATAAAAACCAAACATTTGTAAACAAAATTAGCAAATAAATCATGTAAAACGTGTAGAAAATGAGTACTGGAAAACGGAAATATGAGAATTTTAGTTTGATTATAAATACAGGTAATAAAAATGACCGTTTTTATCTATATCTTTATATATATAATTCTTCTGTGAGTGTGTATGTCACTGAACTTCTCTTAAACGACTGGACCGATTTTGATGAAATGTGTTCAAGGGGATCTGAGAATGGTTTAGATTCACAATTTTCGGTACGAAGTTCGCTGGATCAGCTAGTTATTAAAATAAATTCAGAAACATAGATGAATGATTGGTCTCGCTAGGCGAGACCAAACACTTATCTATGTTCAGAAATTATGAACAATATTCTTGTCAAATGGTTTATGCGAATGAAGGACAATGGCGAACGCCCATACAATTTTTTCCGGAGAGATTACACACCCTCCGTGTCCCTGATTAGCTATTCTATGAAGATACCTAGATTTTACCCATGGTCACATAAAATAGCAAGAACCAATGGACCGCTTTAGTCCAAACGTGTATGAATATGTGGAGTTACCCCCAGTGCGAACGCACATTTTATATTTTTTTGTTATATTTTTAGGCAAAGGTTAATGTTGCTCTAAAATTGTGTACGAAAGCAGCACATAATGCGTGCTACTACAAATGAATTAAGTGTAATCTTTCGGGCGAATCACATCGTTTAATATAAGTCGAACGTCACTTACAGGTAAGTTCGTTTGACTTTCAATAACACTTGTTTGTTAGCATTCTTAAATACTTTAATAATGATTTAGATCTCATTTCAGTTAATTACGTAAGGTTAATTGTATCTATTAGATATTATAGTTACTTGATAATTAATATTTTTACTTATAAATTGATCTATTTGTGAAAGTGAAATCTAGAAAGACGGAGCTACTCGTTACGTCGTAAAATTATCTACCCTTACACTACCAATTTTTAATTGTTTTCTTGTTATCTATTTGTCTTAACATTGGTTAGGAAATAAAGTCAATTCTATATATTTGTGATTTATTTTTTATAAACTACCTACATATAAGTGCAGTGACACTTGGTAACTCACTTATTTTGTAGGAAAAAGTGAAAATTATTCTGATTCGATCAATCCGGCCGGATCCGGCTCGTTGTGTTTTGCCCATTGTCTTTTGTGCTACTCTCACAGACACTGCACTAGGTCCATAAACATCACATTTTTTTACGCAGCTTGCGTTTCATTTTATCTTTTTTGTAGTGAAATTTTTAAATGTATCGAATTTCTTCATTACAATTACTCCTC